ATGTATCTTTTTCTTTGATAGCAGTCAGGTGGCTAAAAGTTTTTTTTCCTAGACTGGAAAAAGCCAGATTACATATTCAGATGGTTCTATAAAACAGTCACAGGCCATCCCATCACTTCAAACGCTCGCCCCGTTCATAGAAGCTTGTAGAAACATGGTGATTTGAATAATTTCCAAATATGAAAACTCTACTAATCCACAGTTGGCTTCACTATAGCAGCTTGTAAGCTTTAGAATTAAGTTTGGGCAGTTTGCTTTCAATCATGCTGCAAATTGTTAAAATATGTGAACAAGAAATCCAGTTTTGATTTGTTCCTGGCACGGTGCACAGAGTGCATCTGAACTTCATGAACATACACTGACAATAGTGATTCCAATGTCCATAAAGCATAACAGGACAGTCTTTGCTGACCAGCTGGACATTGTCCAGTGAATGCAAAGACACGCTGATGCTTTTTGGGCGTTTTACGGCTTCCACACAGAAACTGCTCTTTGTGTCCGTGTTGCTTCCTCATAGGATGTGGCTGTGCAGTACCTGAATACAACATTGCCTTTATTTGAATGAGTGCTATCAGAGCGATTTAAAAAAGAGGAAGTACTGAAGCCGAGGAAGACAGGATCAGTGAGAGTTCAGGTGCAAGTCTTTTAGGTAGGACGTAGCCTGTGACATGGATAACGTTAACTGAAAGGGATTTTTTTTGTCTCTAGTCAGGCAACACTTATGGCTTTCTTCTTTGAGGCAGTGTGTGCTGTTCGTTCTCTCTTCTCCAGTGATGGCGAGTTAGGTGAGAATTTGAGTGTGCTCTTTACTCTGTGTGTAAAAATGTGGAAATGTTTACACCCACATACATGTTCTCTGCAGCAGTGTGGTGGTGTGTTGGGCTGATTTCTAACGCTGCTCTTTCTCCCCTACAGTCCTCGACCCCAAAGCTACCTCCTATTTAATCACATGACATTTAGAGTTTGTCCCCATTTTTTAATCCTCTAAAATATTGGTGCATGCACATGTGGGGACCTCCCTATTGAGCAGTTAAAAACAGGTTAGGGCTGATGAATCCTCTTTACTGAAAAATTGCTTTTCGTGTGTTTGTTTACCATGCACGGGGATTATCAGGATGCATTAGCTGACTGAGGTAGCCCACATGTTAGATTTTCAGAGTGTGTGCAGATAATCATGTGCACGTGCCGACCTGCTTCTGATTCGCGCACATTCAAACATTGTGAGCAGCGTTTCCAGCACCAGCTCCAGATTCTTGGACATCATCATCTGGGCAAATTAAACTTACATTTAAGTCAGAATATTATTTGCATTTACACTGCGTGCTATCCTTGCTTTACACTGTTTCCCTTTGTGCTGTAATCTACAGCTTTCAGAGAAATTCCCCCACGTTAGGCACGATGTACACTGTGATCAGCACTGGCTGTGCGAGACATGTTACGATGAAGGACCTGTATTGTGAACTTTGCAGTATACAAACAGTTATATGAATATTCAAATCAGGAAAAAACGACTATAAATATCATGGTGTGATAAAAGTCTGTCTGTCTTCTGTACAGATATGGAAATGTAGCTTTGGCAGTTTAGAGTAAGAACTCTGTAAACTGTAGAAATGACTTACACTGAATGTTTGTCTAATGGTAAATTTGAACTTCCTATGTGGAAGTAATGATTAAATCTTCTTTTTTCAGTTTAGTTCATTGTCTTTTACTTTGTTTGTCTGTGTTCATTTTGGCAAAAGGTTGTCATGGAGACAACTTCTATCTACCATAAAGGTATTTTTAGGTACTTTGGCAAGTGTTTATATTTCTAAATGTGGACAGATTTTACCAAAGTAACAGCACTGCAATAATGAAAGATACAGGTATGAAACTTTACAGGTATACATGGCTAACATGAGAACGCTAGGTGTGGTGTGGTGACTCATTAGCTTTGTGGTTGGTGTGCTCTCATTGCAGCTGGTGCTCTAGTAGTTATCAGTGTGTCCAGCAGTCCCCACAGGGCTAATTTATGGTCAGTGTCACCGCTGACGTTGTGTTTTCTTCTAACGTATGGCTGTAATCTGTGCACAACCTTTATTTATGTTTCCTTAATGTCCTCAATTATGTGTATTGCATCTTGGTCTGATCTCATCAGTGAAAGGCAAAGCAACAGCAGCAGGATGAAAGAGAAAGAGACGTGTTCACAATAGCCTTTTCTTTTCTTTCTGTGTTCTGCATTAATGTGGCTAATCACAGATAACGAGTACAAATATTGACCACTCACAGTGAATTGCTCTGAGTGATTCATACAAACACCAGTTGGTTCTATTGGCACACATTAGCTTAGCGCACGTCGTGTTCACCATTATGAGATAAACAAATGTGTGTCAGCTCAGGCAACTGTAAGTAAGCACAGAAGTGCACGGAGCCAAACGGAGCAGAGTTTACTGTGAGCCCACTGGCTGTGCTTTGTCTCCACTGCTCCAGCTCTGCTCTCTCTAATCGACTGGCTCTCTGCTTGGCACAGCCGGGAATATATTTGTGAATGGTTTCTTCTGCATGTTGGTGTTTCTGCAAATAGATGTGAGTCACGGGCAACTTCTTTTTAAAAAGAGGAGGAAACCTCTGTGCTTGTCTACACTCAAGTGTTTTTGTTGAGTATTTCTGAGTTATGCATCCGTCCTTCCAACTCGCAGTTAAGCTTCAAAACACCAGCCATAAGCTGGGAGGAAATTTGAGGATTTGCACATTGTTGAGTGCTTTAGCACTGGCTAAGTGTCTTGGGAGTTCCCTGTATTTTTTTTTCTTACATACACTCACGCAATTTAAGCAGATTAGCGAAAACGAGCCGGACAGCAGGCCAGAAGGTGTTCAGAGGAGTCAGAGAGAGAGAAGAGATGGAAAGACTGAGAAAAGAAAACCGAATGCATGCACAGGTGCATATTGGAAGAGCTGATCTTTTCCATGGCACGATCACAGCGCAGTTGGAGTTGGACAAATGAGTTTACATCAGTGTTTTTAACTGCCTTCTTCACACTAATCACCATAATGCACTCTTGTCATCTAGCAGCACTTCGCATAATCAGTACTTGCTTCACTGAGTCAGCAAAGACCCACGTGCACCATTTACAAGCAACCCATATGGTAACTGTGACTCTCCATGGTCCACACACAAGCTAACAGATGGGTGGGGAGGGATTGGGAGTTGATTGACATGTGGGTGGTCCAGTGATTGTGTGCATGTGTTCCCAGTGGGGATAGATCCCTGCTTTTATTTTTCAATTAGTTCTTGTCCAAAGCTTGTTAGAGTTTTCTATCCTTTACGCACTGGTACAAACACACACATGCCCTCTCAAGTACATGAACGCAGTAATAATCAAATGTTGTTGTCTTCTCACTGCACGTTATATGTAAACAGACAGGGACACCTGTACACCTCCCACATAACGTGCTCTTCAGTAACTTGGCTCTGCTTTTTTTGTGATAGCTTCACAAGCTACAAGCTTCCTCCTCCTATTCCGAGTTCCTTAAAGATGCTTCACTGCATCAGAAAGATAAATAGAACAACATCCTGGAAAATGTAACTCAATAATTACTTGCCTCTCTTTTAGTTTTGCATATGTATCGTACTTTGTAGTTTATCATCCACAGCAACAGTCCACATCTCTCTTTTCTCCTACAGGATCCGACACTGGCTTTTTATATCTCCTCTGCCTTTTTGTTATTCCACTGTTTTCTTGACCAGTGCTCCTTTGAAGGCAGGACAGGAGTCATTTCAGTGCCATTGTCGTTTCTTTCTACTGGAGCTGTCACTGCTACTCGGGCCTGAACACGAGCGTTGTCACAGGACATGGTTTTTGACCTCAATACTCCCACAATATGAAAATAAGACTGCAGTATCACAAATACAAGAATGAAACTAGCAAACCAAAATAGAATTCTAATCTATTCACAGATGGTTATGCAAAAAAGCATTAGCATCTATAATAGTAGTTGTTTTTATTTTTTAATTTATTAACCTTGGCTTGTTTGAATATTTCTTCTTCTTCTTTTTCATTACATTTATAAGATGAATCTATATATTGCTCTTGAAATGTATTTATTAAATTGCCGTGCTGGTTGGAAAAACGACTCTCCTGACCTGATCCGCAGGTCGTTGTCATTGTGGCGTTTCAAACAAGTGTTGGCAACAGTGAAGCTGCAGTGCAAAAACGCATAGAATATTTGAAGGGTGTCTCCTTTTCGATTTTAACTTACTCATAGATTGTTAATATTAAAATAATTAGATGGCTAATATGGGTTGAGAATAACAGCCGGCTGATTCATTGCTTGGCTCTGGCTTTTAAAATGTAAACCATAGTTTTTTATGTCTTTGCCCTGGTGACACTCGTGTTTTTGGGTTTCCTGGAAATCTTGAGTGGATTTGTCTAATTCTGGGACAAAGATTCACTTGCACACAATAATGAACTCATTAGATTTTGGGAGTCACAGTTGGAGATCTATTAAAACAACAAAATGTCCCAAGAAAATTCAATTTGGGGCATTTCTGGCTGTTTAATGGCAGTACAAAGAGGGTTATACTGTACATACACGACAACCTAAATATGGTCAGATGTGTACCAGACCACCTCAGCAAGTGCTTTGAATAATTTGATGATGATCATTAATGTTTCTTGCACTAAATACACCATAACTTAAGAATTCATACAGTAATTATGACAACATTTTATAACACTATCTTGTCAAATAAAATATGAATGTTGACTTTTTATATTCATAGGGTAACACAGTGGTCAGCTTCACCCACACATCATGTTTTGGAAAAGCTTTCTTCTGGCATTTATTCATATAACCCCTCAACTCAAGGTTATGCAGCAGAATGGAGCAGTTAATGCTGTATTGAGGAAGTGCTGGGCTGTTCCAAGTGGTGATGAAAACAAGTGTCAGTGGAGTGATTGCTTTGTTCTTTGGGGTGATTTGCTGATCAGCATATTTGTCTTTTTCTGTGTCCTGTCCTCCAGACTTTAACTACAACACAGATGGATACGAGGGGGACGCAGGAGAGGACGGCAAGTCCCAGGATGGCTCAGAAACGCTGCCCTTTATAGATGAATCGCCCACCATGTCACCCCAGCTCTGCGCGCCCCAAGGGCCAGATGGAGAAACCGTGTCGCCCACACCTCTGCTGGCTGGGGTAAGAACTACACACACACACACACACACACACACACACACACACACACACACACACACACACACACACACACACACACACACACACTGGTTCACATTTCCTGTCTACACCATGTCACCTTATTTTGAAGTGACAGGTTGGTGGTAGATGTGGTGTAAATCACTTAAAATAGATCAGCCATGATTTGATTATTAACTGTACTTGTTTACGTTGTTGGTGTTGTTTACTTGTTGTTTGCTGCTGGAACTAGCAGCACAGGGTTGCTGGGAAGTCCAAAGTTTGACACGCAATAATCGACTTTTCTATCTAGATTTTGAGATGAAATCACAAACAAGTAAAAAAATCTGTCCAGAGTCACAGTAGCTGTCCTGAAGTGACTTGCCCAGCAGTGTGGTACGCAGTCTAGCTTTGCAGAGGACTTTGCAGTGTAAGGAGTGTAAAGAGGATTGGCGATACAATCTTTGTTAATAATGCCAAGAGAAATGTGCTCAGTTCATGTTCAGAGTTCAGCATAACTGACATAAACCTGGTGAGGACTGCTACAATATAGTATCAGAATGAAGCACTGCAAGCCTGGCACAGGAAAACGGTGATCCTGATGAATGTCTGAGGAGAGAGTTTCTGAAGACTGAAAGTGTTAATGCAACCAAACAGTTGTCAGAAGAATGACACAAAATCTCTCCAGAAAAGTGTGTGACACAGGTTTCCTCAGTGCAGAGGAGGCTGCCAAATAAAAAATAAAAGCCTTGCATGTCGGTATTTATAGATGATCAATTCCTATTGTGGAGTCTATTAAGTGATTTAACTTTACAGGAGAACAATTGTTGTGCAACTAGGAAGTAATATTTGAGAATTCATCCAATTTTAGTAATTGAAATTATTGACAGAAGGGAACAGTTAGGTCATGTCGTGGTGGTTAGTACTGTTACCTCACGGCACAAAGGTTTTTAGTGCTCCCGTGTCTGCACACACATCCATGGGTTAGCTAAACTATATATGCCATATGTGTGAATGTGAGCATGAATGGTTATCTGTCTCTGGGACAGACTGGCGACTTGTCCAGGATGTACCCTGCCTCTTGCCCAGTGACAGCTGGGATGATGACCTGTGAGGGGTGATGGTGTAGGCTCCAGCTGCCCTACAACCCTGAATTGAATACGTGGAAGAAAATGAATGCACTAGCATGGTTTTGGATAAATATTAAAAAAAATGTTGAAGAAAAGATCATTCACCACACGACCCAGTAAACATAACTGGGTATATAAAAATATTGGACACAGTTTAAATGAAGTGTTCAGTGGCTCTTGCATTCTGAACTGTAAGATAATATGAGGTTTTCAGCCATTCAGCCAGGTTTTTCTCTTGGTATTAATGGTTGGAGTTTCACCCCAAACGATTATACTTTAAGACGTGAGCTGCCAGTTTTCTTTCTGATATTAGCCACAGATATTGACCCAGTGTACATTTTGCCACAGGAGCTCCCTGAAGCGCACTGCAGGATGTGTATTCACATCAGTTGGAAATGACCACTGACCCAGATGGGGTACGACAGCAACCGTCTGCTAGCTTGAATATAAATGGAATACACTGAAGTGCTGCCAAACAGCACTTCAGTGTATTCTATACTCGAAGCAGAGTCTGGGGAGGAGGGGGATGACTCGGCGGTGAAGCCACTGATATAGTTAAACAGGCATTTGGGTTGGGTGAGATTTTCCCTCAGTTCATGAAGGCTCTAGATGCTGTAGGGCCGTCCTGGCTGACACATCTCTGCAATGTATGCGTGGACTAGTTCCGGGTGGGTGGGAAGCTGACCAAGGGCTGTCTTTTAACACTAGTTCTGTTGATGGTGTTTATGGACAGAATATCTAGCCAGAGGTGGAGGGTCTCTTCTTTGATGGCCTCAGGATTTCACATTTACTGTTTGCAAAGGATCTGGGACAAGTTACTGTCCCCAAGTATCTTGGGGTTTTGTTCATGAGTAAGGGGAGAGTGGAACGTGAGATTGACGGATGGTTTGGGCTGGTGTCCACTGCGATGTGGCCACTGTACCAGTCTGCTGTGGTAAAGACAGAGCTGAGCATGAAAGTGAAGCTGTCGATTTACTGGTCAATCTACGTTCCTGCCCTCGCCTGTGGTCATGATCTCTGAGTAGTGACTGAAAGAATGAGGTCTTGGATACAAGCAGCAGAAATGAGATTCCTGTTTCCCAGTTGAGGTAGGTCGGGCATCTAGGAAGCCTTCTAGACTCCTGTGCATACCTCACCTAGGAAAGAGGAGGCCCTGGCCAAGACAAAGGACTCACTGGTGAGATTGTGTCTCTTGGCTGGCTTGGAAATTCTCAGTCGTCGTCCCCCCCCCGACTGAGCTGGCTAAGTTGGCGGGGGTGAGGGAAGTCTAAGCAATCTGTTGAAAATCTTTCCTGTATATCTACAGTGCATAATTTAGAACAGGAATGCTGTAGGTGACAGTCTTTCCTGTGTTTTTTTTCCAAATTATCTGCTGCTGGAAATATGAAACACAGTGGATTTTCACACTTAAGTCAGACAAATCGCTCAGAACAGCTGATGTGAACGCTCTCCTGATGCTTTCAGAATTCAGAATATTTTCTGAATGTGTTCATCGTCATGTTTCAGGGCTTGTAGTCCCGTCACATTCCCCCCCTTTATGCCTCCCGGCTATGTGTGTTTGGATGACTGTCACTCGGTGCCCACTTAAAAGAATGTGACTGTGTGAAGGGGCGTAGCCCACCGAGGCTCAGTGGGAGCCAAGTTGACCCTGACCTGAACTGACCTTCTCACAGACACAGAGGAAAAAAAAAAAAAAAAGCTGGTAGGATTTCATTCACATGTCAGCAGCCTTTTTATCCACTGAAAAATAAAATACTCAATGAAAACAGCATTGCTTTACATCTTTAGATCAATATGTTGTTTTTAAATTCATACACAACAGAAATGATCGTATATTCTTTCTGTATTAATGACCACAGCTGGTTTGTCTCAACCTTCCACTTGCTTTACCGTCCTCTTTGAAGTCTGCCTGCTCTATCTTACATTCGATCCAAGCAATATCACTGCACTATCCATGCATGAACACAGTATTGTAAATAAACTGTGGTCTTGTTAGGCTTCAATGGAGCTGATTGATGAATTATTCAGCTGTATTAATTGTGAGTGACTCTGAGCTAGGGCAGCTCATGTAAATGAAGATGTGTCTCCATCTAGTGGCTAGCTGGGATAAGAACAGTAAAGATGGTTTGACTGTTTAAAATATAAGAAATAGGAAATGAATTGTTCATAGTGCTGGTACATTAATGGTTTCAGCCACAGAGGATCCTCAGTAAGATACTGTTGTTTTCTTCCCTGATCATCGTCTCTGCTAGGATGAGATTACTCAACGTGGACAAGCTCAGCTGTTTTCTGTGTACAGTTGTATGTTAAAGTTTTGTATAAAGTAGCTTTTCATTGATGAGTTATGATCAGCTTATTATTATTATTATTATTATTATTATTAATAATAATAATAATGATAATCAGAGGACTTAATTGGTTTTTCTATGGTGTTGTGCAAAATTCTTAAGCAATCCCTTGTTTCCTTATGTTTTTCTCCATTGCTTTTTAACCTGTGAATCATTCAAGCATAAATACAACACTTATTCACCGAATGAGTTAGTAGTGACAAAGAGCCAGGTTTAAATTGTATCTTTACTTAGCAGCCTGTGGCAGAAACACATCAATTGTTCCCATTTCTTTAGTTGAATCTGTGAAATCGCCAAAGGCAGCATAGTTTGATGGACACAAAATAGTATTTTTGCACCAATGAGGTAATTCCCAAAGAGCTATTAGCTAAAACGTTATTTTCATATTTGCTCAGTGTGATTTGCAGTGTCCCTAAAATAAAATTAAGGAAACTTGACAAGTGGCGGAACAAAGAAGACGTGGCAGACCTAAAACTATATTTGTAGGAGAGGAACAGTAACTGAAAGTCATGGTCTTAAGAAACAGAAGAAAATTAAGCAGTGGCAAAGGCCTGACACAGGACCTGAGATATGAATGCAGTCCTTCAGTTGATCCATCTACTGTTTATTGAAGCCTCATCAGAAGTAATGGAGGCTGTCGACAAGCCGTTGTTAAGGAAGGGAAATTAAGGATGGCTTAATTTATGCCACATTATGCAAGAACAAATCAATAACAACAGGTCGTTTTGAGTGATGAATCCAAATTGAAAGCATTGTTTATATGCACAGTGGAGGTCAGGAGTGTCTGCAGCCATCTTTAAAACATTTTTTATTTTACATCTGTGTATTTACACTTTTCAGCACCTGAATGAATTTGAGGAGCTGCTGTGAAAGCTTGCTTGTTAAGAATTCACTTGTGATGCTGCTGCTGCTAAAAGATTTTGTGGCTCTTATCACACACCGCTGTGCAGCCGTGTTCTCTTTCCGCTGAGTTTGCAGAGACCTTTCATCTGCTAAAGTGAGAGGGCTGATGGCCCCATGTGTTCAACATGACTAAGAGTTAAATACAGAACTTAATTTTTTTTTATTTTTTTTGTATTACGCTCTAAAATCATACTTTTCCTTCAGAAGACAAGTTTAGGACAGATTGTGCTTTGACCTCGAAATAAATACAAATATACATTAAGGAGGAGGTTCATAGAGCAGTTGGGGGTGTCCCTTCCTCTAAAATGACAAGTCAAGGTCAGGAACAGGTGAAAGGGCATTGGAAGGGAATTGTATTCATTCATAAATATGCAGCAACTTAAACTTGGATGTTTGCGTGTAGATTATTTATATTTTTGGTTTAATTTTATTTCCAGTAACCACAGTTATTGATTTTCTGTCTTTGTCTTGCTGCACACGTTTTTTCGTCTTCTTTTTTTAGTGTATTATTTCTGTGCTTTGCCTTTGAAGCTGCTATAACTGTGTGCCCAGCGATCTATGTGACCTGTAATTGGAATCAGCCTCGCTTGCAGCACATTAGCTGGCCCTGGCTCAACGTCCAAGGCTTTCAGCAGATCGATAAAGAGACAATGGACAGAAAGAAAGGGAGAGAAATCAACCCTGTAGCGTGCGCTGATGAGAGTGAGAGAGCGAGACTGTTTGTGTGATGAGGAAGTGGCTTTTTGCCCCGAAGAGAACGGAAGAAAGAAATAAGGGACAAGAGAAGACTGACTTTCCCAGCGTAGCCCTAACAGAAAGAGTCTGTAGCCATCAAGGAAGTGGCTGGATAGCATTTGTGGGGAGGGGAGGGGCGGCTGTAGAGGGAGGGCAGACCTCATCGACTGAGGTGGAACAGTGGCCACACACACACAAAGACAGACACACACACACACATATATAGAGCACACACAAACACCAGGAAGCCCAGCAGAGGAAGGGGGTGGGGTTGAGTAGGCGGGGTCCTCTCTCTTTCTGTCTTTCGGTGTCCAGACGACTTGATCTAAAGGGAAAACACTGATGTGTCCAGGCAGGCCCCGTAGAAGGAGATAGGAGGCAGAAAAGAGGAGAGAAGGAGGTGAAAGAAAGGAAAGGAAAGACAGAACCATGGAGGAGGAAGAGGAGGAGGTGCTGTGCTACTTGGACAGGGTTCTGGAGGAGGAGGAGGAGGAGTCTGAATATGGAGATGGGGAGCTGGAGCCCATCACTACGACACATAGGCAGTTCAAGGTGAGGCATGAGCTGGAGAGGAGCTGGATGCAGAGGAAAAAGCGCGCACACATACAAACACACACACGAACATACACATACGTACACACTTTTGCAATACTGCCTTTCAAAATGGAAAATCCCAGTCAGTGTATTGGTGTGTTTGTGGCGTGACGTGTGCTTCTTCTCAGTGCTGCAAAAGTGTGTGTGTGTGTGTGTGTGTGTGTGTGTGTGTGTAAGAGTGTGAGAGTGACAGCCATTGGTGTGTCAGCGTGGCCCGATGAGGCAGCGGCTCTGCAGCGCATGTCTGCTGCTGCTTTTTAAAGCCGGCCGCTTTCTGTTTCTCATGCTAACTTCTGTGTTTGTGCGCCTCTGTGTGTACTCCTCCCTGCAGATGAACTGATAAAAAGCAGAGCTACTTTCAACTTTCTCTGCCCATTCAAGATATCAGCTCTTTTATCAGAGGGCAGAGGGCAACGCAGGAAAGCACGCAGTGTTTGTCTGTGTGAAAAGCCTAGTTGTGACTCACAGAGCAGGTTGCTGTGGGGAAAAAAAATCACCTCTCATGGATTCCTCGTCTTGCCCTCTCGCCACACAGTAGCTCTTTGTACACAGCAGAGGGAAAATATTCCTTTTTCCTGTCTTTTTTTTTTTTCCTGTTGAGTTATGACTTATTTGTTACTTAAAAAAATGAACTGAATATTTCTGCAACGTTTTGGTTAGTCAAAAGGACAGGACACCTTTTGTGGGTTATGATGTCATATTTTAGACCTCAGCTATTCTGAGATATCATTTTAATAAGAACGCCAGTCACTGGCTTAAAATAAATGTTGACCAGCAGTAATTCACATCACATCAAAGACTTTTCTCTTAGTTAAGTGTGTCTCATTTCTGGCTTTAGTTTTGAGCTTTAGGTTCTTTTAAAAGAATACGAGCAAAGAGAAAGGCTCAGAGGATTAAACTAAACAGATTTCTGGCCACGTGCTGCATTAATCCTTCATATTAACGTAAATGCAAGTAAGTGTCAGTAAGGACTTCCCTGACAGTTTATTTAACCAACAGAAAAATGATCAATAGAAATCATCCATGCCTCTCGGACTGATTTACTTTACACTGTCACGGTTAGCTGAGGAAAAACTGCCAATGTGTGACAGGCCTCAAAATAGGCCCTTTGCAGTCATCACAAGTGTTTGTTATCTTTATAGTCTTCAGCATTCTTAATAAAGGAGCACGTGTAAATGGCATATACTATAACACATACGGTAAATACTGAACCTTGATGTGCAGTATAATTTCCTGCCTGAGGGATAACATCAGTGTTGGAATGTGCATGTCAGCCGTGATTGGGTTAAATGATGAGGTCATGCCTCCTTCCTCGTCTTGCTGGGCAGTCCTGGAGTGCTGATAACATTGTAAGGTCTTGGTGGAATTAATAATTAATCTCTGGTCTCACAGCTGTTCTTTGGCCTTCTTTAAGGCACACATGTCATATTTAAATGACAATTTCTGGAGTTTATCGGTATTTATCTCTTCAGTAAGGGAAAAATGTCAATACAGAAATATACCTAACCAGCTACACTGATAAGGTATGCAATACAATTCAATTCAATTCAATTTTATTTATATAGCGCCAAATCACAACAACAGTCGCCTCAAGGCGCTTTATATTGTAAGGTAGACTCTACAATAATACATACAGAGAAGAAACCCAACAATCATATGACCCTCTATCAGCAAGCACTTTGGCGACAGTGGGAAGGAAAAACTCTCTTTTGACAGGAAGAAACGTCCAGAAGAACCAGGCTCATGAAGGGGCGGAGCCATCTGCTGCGACCTGTTGGGGTGAGAGAAGGAAGACAGGATGAAGGACATGCTGTGGAAGAAAGCGAGAGATTAATAACAAGTGTGATTCAGCAGAGAGGTCTATTAACACATGTTGAGTGAGAAAGGTGACTGAAACGGAAAAACTCAATGCATCATGGGAGTCCCCCAGCAGTCTACACCTATTGCATCATAACTAAGGGAGGATTCAGGGTCACCTGATCCAGCCCTGACTATATGCTTTAGCAAAAAGGAAAGTTTTAAGCCTAATCTTAAAAGTAGAGAGTCTGTCTCCAAAATCCAAACTGGAAGCTGGTTCCACAGAAGAGGGGCCTGAAAACTGAAGGCTCTGCCTCCCATTTTACTTTTAAATACTCTAGGAACAACAAGTAGGCCTGCAGTGCGAGAGCGACGTGCTCTAATGGGGTGATATGGTACTAAAAAGTTATTAAGATAAGATGCAATGCAATATACCTTAGATAACTTAAAAGTAAAGAAAAATATCTTTAAAAAACATATTTTTAAAGTGAATGGATTTATCTTAATTGTCGCTTCTAAATGAATGATTCTGTGTGAGTGTGAACAGTTGTCTGCCTCTGTGATAGTGTAGTGACAGACTGGCAACCTGTCCAGGGTGTACCCTGCCTCTCGCCCTGTGGTAGCTGGGATAGGCTTCAGCCCCCCGCATGGGCTACCCTAATTTGTCTTAGTGGAAGAGAATTGCTGGATGGATGGCTAAATATGAAATTAACATACAAAACAGAGCATATGTCCATACGCTAATCAAACTTGTCGCATACTTTTGCGAGTCTGGCGTCACTGAAACCACTGCTGTTGCTATGCTGCTGGCTAACCATATGAAACTCATGAACCCCCCCCCCCTCTTTCTCATAGTACGTGTTCCGATCATTACTGGCAAACTGCTGCGGACTTAAAGCAATTCGAAATTTGAAAGTGAAACTTTGAAACATTTTTCTGTTTGATACACCTGTGCACTCCACAGTCCAGTATACAAAACCATAATTCCTTTTCAAATATTTTTACTTCACCTACACAGATATTGTGACATTTTGATTGTCACGCAAGTATCATCTACCACAGAGTCACTGTATCACTATGCCATTGTTGTGTATTGCATTAGTATCAGGAGTAACTATACTATTCCCACTGGGCAAATCATAACATGTGGAGCAGGGCAGTCCTTTATGACGAGGGAACGGCCAAAAGTGAGAATAATGTGAAGAAAGATGAAGTCTTATGTGATCATGTTGGAAATCCCTCTTTTGAAACCTGGTAATTTTGCTTTAATATAAGTTCCCACAAAATGTAAACAGTACACTATGAGTGTGCCTTGGTCTGTGTTTCTCAGACATCAATAGGATGTTGACTTCCCCGACGTCAAAATGCAACAGTTGCCTGGAGTCATCACAAATAGTTTTACAGAGGAAATGAGATACTTAGATGTTTTCATAAGATTTCTAATCGGTTGCGCATTCTTTTACGCTTACGACTGTTTGTATCAATCTTGTGTTTACCTGATGTGACTGTTCCACTGGCACTATTGCAGGAAATAGAGTCAGGGTGCTTTCATGTGCCGTTAAAAGCATATTACAGCCAGGTCTGTTTTATCCGGCAGGGAGACATCGAGAAAGGACTGGAGATGAAGAGACTGGTGCTGTCTGGATTCCTGGCCAGCGAGGAGATCTACATTAACCAGCTGGAGGCCCTGCTACTGGTGAGACACTCAGACAAAGACAGACAAGAAACAGAAACAATGTAACAAGGCTCATATAACCGCGTGAACATTGGAGTGCTGCTGCTGCTGTAGGCATCGGTGTGAGCTGTGAGACTATCAGAACACTATTAGTGGTCGATGGCCACACTTAAAGCAGGACCACAGATGCTGCACTTTACTGCAATGCTAACCGACCACACTTCCTCATGCTAAGT